ATGTAGTTAAACTAATAGCTTCGCTACATGTAGCGGCGCTACTGCCCATCACTGTTAACCAATATGATGTGTTGAACTAGATCTGCTATTTTCACAGCTTTTGTGAGACACTTTTTAATAAAGTAGGGCATTAATTCATAAAAAAGTTATTTGAATTCATTAAATCAAAGTTTTTTTGCCCAACAGCAATGATGATCTGCACGGCAGCATTCTATACCCAGCTATTGTAGCATCTAGGATAGAGCTGCCAGTCTGGGGAAGAATTTGTTTTTTATTACAAATTGTAAAGTTTAACTTTTTTTGCAACATAAAACTGACTAAAACCTTTTTAGTTTTAGTCGACTAAAACCGACTAAAAATATCACATATAGTATTGACTAAAATTGACTAATAATGGTTTTCGTCCTGAAGACTAAGACTAAATTTAAGATGGCTGTCAAAAACAACACTGCCGTTTGTGATTTTATCATATGTTCATAAAATTTTAATTACCTAAATATGACTAAAGAGTCCTTTAAGATGAGTCCCCTCATGTATCCTAGCTGCAAATTCAATAAAAGACGATAGGAATCAATTAACTAAAGGTTTTTGGTTTCTGACGAAGCAAAAAATTTCATGAAACATTTCTTTACCAAATATTTTATTCACCTCTTAATTATTATTCGTATGATAAATTGGTTTGAACACATTGCAATTTTATTTGATTTATTGTGCTTCTAATCTATTTTTTGCTTCCTTTTTGTGTAGCTTAGCTGATCTGAGTTTGATTACAATAGTAAAGAGTTTTTAACTGAAATGTGTTTTGACTTCTTTTGCATTCCATATTTGGAAGAGTTTTCGGTTTGATCAATTTACCGTTTGTTCACAGATCGATATATGACTATCTGAATATTAAATTAGAAAATACTTGCCTTCCCTTTTGGGTTCGGCAAAAAAAAAAAATCATAATTGCACATTTTACGTTGAAATAATCATGACCACAATAAAGACACATCAAAGTTCTTTAAATAAAGTTGGTTTTTAATTCTAAAAACAGAAATGTGCTGTAACAAAACATCTAGACTGATTATTTGCAACAATAATTGTCTACATATTAAATGTTTGTGGTATAAAAACAACAGCATACAGGTTTTCTAATAAAACATTCATTCTGATTGAAACATATAGCAACGTTTTGCTTCGTACAGATATACATACATATATATA